AAATTAGATTTTATTGGGCTTTCTTCTTTCTTTTTTATTCTTTTAATTGTTAATTGTTATTATATTTTATTATTTTAGTTAATTTATTTACTTAATAATTTTATTATATTTGTATATCTTCTGACTGCGAAGACCTGAACAATCTCCGCAAAAGATCTCTTTGCTGTAGTTTTAAATAACATGATTGCTAGGCAGACAATTGCCAACTATCATAGTACACAAAGAAAACAATGGGCGTCACTGTTCTTTCGTTTTAGCTCCATGATCGATGTGTTAAACAATGGACATTATAAACGTAGTTTTAGTTAGGTTAAAGGGGAACCGCTCAATCCCATGGATTGCACCAAAGAATCATGGGACACTATTGTTTATGTTGTTTACAATGTTAATCTATCTTTTGTTATCCATTGTTATTTTAATCCAGAAAGTAAATTTGTTGTGAAATTAATCTTAACTGGAAGGTGCCCCTTTAACTGTTAATTAAAGTTCGAGTTATCAACTGGAATTTCAGTGAACAATTGATTTAACATTGAGTTATGTCATAGTTTGGAAAAGTGGGCGTGGTTTTTAAATCATGGGCCATTAGACGTATGTGTTTGGATACCTTTGACCAATCAGAATGACCAACGACAATAAACTGATAAATAGATGCTGATTCAGCACTGCGCCGTATAAGAGACAGTGACGGACTCTCCGCTAATAAACTCGTTCATGCCGCACGCATACATTCACTTTACGCATCTAAAAATGAAGGTTTTGGCCAAAATACTGTTCGTTATATTATGTGTGGTAACAGTTGTCACAGACGCTATAGGGAGTGATGATCAGAAAATAGGGACGGTGATTGGCATTGACTTGGGTACTACGTATTCGTGGTAAGACGCCTATTTTTATCTCTGTAATCCACTAATTGGGTGTATGTTGCTATATCGTCACGAGACTGCTATATCGTCACAAGCCTCTAATCCTTTGAATAAAGGCAACCCTGGTAATAAAATGTACCGTTCGTTCCTCCAGAATCCTATGTACCACTAGTACTCCCAGACAGAATCCTGTGCCGTTACTGCAAGCATGCGTATAAAAAAGTACGGAAAATATACAGATCTTCACAGACTATATGTTTTTGTTAGTTGAATTTTTTGCACGGGCCGCGTCCCTACTACAAAACATTGTTGTTGTTTTTTAAAGTTGGGAGACGCTTTTGAATGATTTTCAAGGATTGTTTCAATTGC